CCACACTTCCGTCATTCGTCATGTCACCAGCGTGGATGAGCAGATCGCCTTCCGGTACATCTTCCGGTATCAAATTGTGCGTATCGGATATGCAAACGACTCGAATGGGTGGGCGTTGTAGAGGCTTCGGGGTTGAGCGCAGACATGTGATAAGGTGGTATGCATGGTAGAGGAGTAGCTTGACGGGAGCTCGGAAGAAGAGGGCGATGAAGGGCGTTGGCTCGAACTCTGATGCGGGGCGATACCAAGGATTCAGATGCTCGAGAAGCATTTCCGGGGGGCCAGATGCCCGTCGTAGCTCTGGTGACCGGTTCGCCTGTCACTGGTTTGGTGGTGAGCAAATGGGTGGCAGCATGCGACGCGTCGACCAGGGTCCATGTTCGCGTGGCTTCTTAGCGTGGCTGTGCGGGCCGCGGCTTTCCTCGAGGCATACACCCGTCAGCCTATCACCTCCAGGTGATGTCTCTGCTGCACCTAACGAGTTCAGCAGAACGCTCCTCAGCCACGATTGCAGCCTTCGTCATGTATCGCAAAACGCCATCGCGCTGTTACCCTTACCGGACCCCACTATTCCAGCCTCCTGGATTGGTCTGGGATGTGATGACGGCCTTCAGCTCGAGGCCACGGGGCAGTGTTGGTTACAGATCAGGTTGCGCGCCTGCATCGCGGCGTGCTATGCTCTCATGTCGCCATGAAGGTTTGGTAGAAATAGCCTTCTCGCTGCTTACCCTTGAGTAATTCTCCAAGTTTGCGTTCATCTCATTGCTTTCCTCTCTCGGCGAGACCGTCCAGCTGTCCCTTTCAAAGGTTATTCCGAACAGCCTTAGAGATGGCAGAGTTGGCTATCGGAGGTGTATCCTTCTTCTTCCAGGTGTTTGCGGGATGTATCCAAGGTTGGCATACCCATTGACCTACGCCTGAAGATGCATTAATAATCTTGATTAGGTTACGAACTGATCGCAGATGCTTGTCATCTTCGCAAAGACTGCCAAGCGCTTCTGGTCAACTTCAAAGTGGAAGAACATCGACTTCTCAACTGGGCAAAGCTTGTACAGCTCGATTATCGAGACGACAAACTGGTCCTGAATCACATGTCGAAAGGCCTCATTATCAACATCATGGAGCAACAACAAAAGCTTCTCTTCTCATTCGGCCGACTAGACAAGAAGTACGAGAGACTTACAGAGCCTCTCCTAGAGGAAGCAGCTGAAGCATTCGTCCTACAAAATTTTGATCGCCTGATCGAAGACGATACCAACGGCTCTGGTGAAGGGAATGCAAGGTCTGTCCGGTTCCCGCCTACTGACGAGCTGGTAAAAATGTCCCTCAAATTCGTGCAACAGTTCAAGGATGTACCAAAGAGGCTCAAATGGGCTGTATTCGATCACCTCAAGATGGAGAAGCTAATCGCGAGACTGGCCGACTTCAACGACAAGATGCACGAAGCGCTCGACAAAGCTCAAGTAGACCTGCTCATCGATATGCAGACGCGTACAAATGACCAAATAGTCTTGCTGAACAGGACGATGTCGCACATGGTTCAAATCTACCAATCCCAGCAATCAGAACAGATTGGCTTTCGAAGGGCTTATTCACTGATAGAGATGGAAGATTCCGAATATGATGGTATGATGGACAGTGGTGCCGTCGCAGCTCGTGGTGCCGCCCGTCAGCCTCTTGCTGCTTTAGCCCAGCAAAACTTCATTCACCTTGCTATCGAAGACTCTCACGAAGATCTTACCACAAGCTATGCAGAAAAGATCAACATGCCAGATCTTCCAAAGGACATTCGTGATACCCAGCTCCAGTACATGGACATACGCCCTAAGCTAGGCAGTCAATTTCCCCTGGAGATTGATGAAGGTGTACGCACGGAGGCATACTACAAGAACACACCTGTGTGGATAGAATGGAAATCACCCGATACCACGGGTCCCATGCAGCAGGATGGTGCTGTGGACGCCAAGATCCACGCTCGCGTCAAGAAACTGGCCGCCTTACTCAGTAAGCACAACAGAACAGTCCGGTTTAGAGCACCCTTCTGCCGAGGCTACTTTATCGATGAGGACGAAGGACGTTTCGGGCTAGTCTTCGAAAAGCCCGCGTCCGTCCCGGCGGACACTGAACCGACATCTCTACACGCACTCATCGCAAACCCCGAGAACGATATACCTTCGCTCACTGACCGTATCACACTCATGAGACTTCTTACCGAGACAGTTGAACGTCTCCATGCGGTGGATTGGCTTCACAAGGGCCTACGCTCGGCCAACATCCTCCTCTTTCCGAAGAAGGGAGGAAGAGTTGAAAACGGTCAGGTCACGCACGGCGAGGTCAACTACGCGGATCCTCTGATTAGTGGTTTCGACTATTCTCGTCCGGCAACCAGCGATGATATGACTGAACGTCCTCTTGACAATCCCGCTGCAGACATCTATCGTCATCCGTCTGTACAGCATAGAGGAAATCGCGAAGATGCCGGCGGTCGTGAGTCTTACAAGAAGTCTTTCGACCTTTACTCGCTCGGTATCGTACTGCTGGAGATCGCTTACTGGAAAACCATTGACCAGGTTCTGTCTATCGATCTTGAAAAGGCGCGGCCTAAGCATACGTGGGCTGTGGAGAAAAGGTTACTACAGACGGAACCACAACATCTACGGGGCGTGAAGAGTTATCTAGGTAACACGGTGGAGGGTGTTATCAGGGCTTGTTTGCAAGGGCCTACCGCGTTTGATCTCGATGAGAATGCAGATGAGAAGAGAGAGGTTGTTGCTGCCCAGTTACAGGAGGCATTTGGAGAAAAGGTCGTGAAGAAGTTGGCGTGTATGAAGGGCCTTTAGGCATTTTCTCTCTCATTTATCGCTAGGACACCATGAACATATCTGACCCATGCTTGTTACGTCTATGCCCCATGATGAAATGATGTGAATGCGCTTGATCATACATGTGCTCCGGTGTGCTTGTCTCTTGTCTCTGTTGTAGTCAACATGTGAAGCTAGACTGGCATGTTCGGCGGCGAGATGCACAGTACTCTTTGGGACCTGCAACAAACAAGGTTCTGGTTTAGGGGTTGAGAGTTGTCATTGTATCGAAGAGGATCCTCCAATGCCGCTATTTCATCCATCGTCAATCATATATATGTCCATGAGCAGTCGCCCATGATGCCATCCATCGCTCCGCAACTCGGTTATGCAAATATCCCTAAAGTACAAACAGGCTCGAATCGAAGGCGCTTTACATTCCGTGCTTCTTCAGGTACTCGCCGAGCTCAACTACGGAGTTGAAGGCGTTGGGAGTCTGGATGGTGTCGGGGTGGTGGGCGATGATGACGGCTTGGGTAGTCTTGAAAGCGACGATGCCCTCTTTTCCCTGGGGTTGTTGTCAGTGCTTGAACACTTGATGGTGGGCAATGTCTGGCACCTACCTTCTTCGCCTTGAGCGAGTCGTCGCTTGCCTCGATGGTCATGTACTTGACACCGTTGACCTTGACACCTTCCGAGATGACCTTCTTGGGCTCTGACTTGTCGTTGAAGGATTTGGCGATGGCGGCCCTTTCCTCAGCGGACAGCTGTAATTGGTCAACACCAATCTATTGTTTATGCGCCACCGGAGCTTTGATTCTGGAGTGCTCGCTGTGTCCGGCGCGTATTGTATCGGACGACTTACCGAGAAGTCGGCGGAGGCGGCCCAGGCAGTCGAGCCCTCGATGTCGCAGATGAGGGCCTTGTCGATGTTACCAGTGCCGACGAGGCTGTGATAACGTTAGTCATGGACAGGTGATAGATTGGGAGGCTTGATGTACCTGGTGTCAACGTATTCTGCGCCCAAAGTTAGCCAGGACCTTCCAAACTCGACGCCTCGAGCTGCTCACCTTGCCAGGACATGGTTGCGGAGGGTTGATGTGCGTGCTGTGGAAGCTTGTGGTGATGGGAAGATGAAGAGGGATGCGGCGAAGTAGATGCAGGTACTTTTGACTAAGCAGAGCAAGAGGGTAAATGCGGTGAGGGTGTTCAAGGCTGCGTTGTTGGGCTAAAGTTGCGATTTGATAGTGGGGCTGTTTTGACCCCGCCTCTCGCGATGAAATCTAACGGACGCAATTCACTCCTCCAATTCCAGCACGCAAACCTCTGAGCTTCTAATCTGACGACCCGTCACGCGTCCTCCTTGCGCTATCATGCAGCTGCTTACTTGGTGGGGGTCACCACTGCCCTCGATGCCTAACGCGACGGCACTGAGCGCGCCGCATTTAGCTATGCCCACCGCGATACCCGCCTAGTATCCGCCGCGCTCTGGGGTCGAGGACGGATAGCGGGTCAGAGTGCTGGCAATTCAGCAGTCGCTCCAACAGTCACGCAAGAGCGGACACTGGAACCGTCCATGTCCAGGTCCTTCACACGTCTACTATTTAACCCGTCTCTGGCCTGTTTGGAAGCAAACGTTGAAATTGCAGACATGGCAAATCGAGCTCCGGGGCAGATATGAAAACGTATTAGCTGGAGTTTGAGGGACGACTGGCTTTTCATCATGCACCTTGTGCAATTTGTACAAGCTGGCGATTCATTTCTCTTCCTACATTGCCGATCTATTCCCTGCCTTGGCCCTTGACTGTGTGATGGCTGTTTGCGAACACGTCCCGCTAGTCACGTGCCAGCGCTAAGACGAGCTTGAAGCTTGGAGCTACCATCCAAAAGTTACGTCGCGTTAGACATGACCAACAAAGCAACTACAAGCCCAACCACCGAGTGTACATTGAAGAGCACGCAACAGGACACTGCTACGACTGAAATTGCGCGACAGCCAAGACATGCCATCTCGTTCTCCATCTCCCGCACGCTCGCGCACGCGCAGCCCTTCTCGCGACCCGTCGCACACAAGATCACCCAGCCGCCCTCGGTCGGCGCAGTCAGGCTCGCCGCGCCGCTCCGTCACCCCTCGCTCGCCTACACGGTCTCGTTCAATTACTCGATCGCGCTCGCCGACATCACCGTCTCCACGGCGCAATGGGCGACGGAGCTACACACCAGAAAGCAGATCGCGCTCGAGAGGTAGAAGTTATTCCCGGAGTTTGACTCCAAGAGATCGGTCGCCAGCACCTAGAAGCGCAAAGGTAAGCATACTCCCTGTGCTAGACGCAACTTTCAGAGCTGCCTTGCCTCAGCCTTCCTGCACCAGCACGCTGACCCACCAACAGATCGTAGTTGAAGCCTTGACCAGGAACGTCAAAGAAGACCACGTGCGCGAGATATTCGGAAAGTACGGTGTCATCAAGGAACTCACCATGCCCATGAACCCCACCTGTATGTTTCGCCCTACCTCCCCACAGAGCAGGACTGACTATTGAACAGTCAACATCAATCGCGGCATAGCCTACATTCTCTACGAGGAGATCGACGACGCCGAACGCGCAATCGCGAAGATGCACGACGCACAATTAGATGGAGCCAAGATCCAAGTTTCCATTGTCCTTCCCCGCCGGCGTTTCTCACAGACACCTCCGCCCGCGCGTAGAGGCCCGCCGCCACGCGACGACTACGAAGGTGGCTATGGGCGCGGTGGACGGGGACCGAGGGGCGGAGGCCCACCTGGCGCGTACAGGCCACCACCTATGGATGGCCGTTATCGATCTCCACCGCGTCGAATGTCGCCCGATCGAGGACACTGGGGTCGGGGCAGAGGCGGAGGCGGTCGTGGTGGACGAGGGGCCTACGGAGGACGGCCACGGTCGTACACACGTTCTCGCAGCCGGTCACCACGACGAAGCCTATCGCGCTCTTCTTACAGTCGCTCGCCATCCAGAACACCACCAAGACGAAGTGGGGGAGGAGGCTATGGCAGGCGGGACAGTCCACCAAGGAGGGGAGGTCGCGCGGGTGCAGGCGGCGGAAGGAGGAGTCCAAGCTATAGCTCCTATGGCAGCGACCGGAGTCGAAGCAGAGACCGCAGATGAGAGACGCAAGATTGTCTTCATTGTCGGCTGGAAAAGCCTAGAGGCATCCGCACAGTCAAGTAGGAGCTCGGTTGGACTATTCGGTTGGCCAGACCAATGGTATACATTAATTGAAATCGGTCGCAGGCTCAGTTGGGCGAAGTCCATCTTGCCTTGAAAGAAGTTTCCTACATGCCCACGCGTCTTCGCAATCAATCAGGTCATCTTCAACTGAAATCCTGCTCCCTTCTCTTCTTCCTCTCTGCCCTTGAAAATACTACTAAAATCCACGTTGCCCTGCATGCCGGGCGCCTCTCCTCTCTTTGGCGCATTCGGACTCTTCTTCCTTCTCCTCTCCTGCCCGGCCTTGCTTGGAAACGTGGGAAACATCTCGGTCGGTTTCGGCTTGGGTTGCTCTCTGAAGTAAGGATGCTCCAGTACTTCTTTCGCTGTAGGCCTATGGTCTGGATTCAGGGATAGCAACGAAGAGAGGAGTTCAATGCCAGACGCTGTCAAGAAGGGAAATTTTGCACGGTTGAAGCCTGGGGCGTTGCGGTGGTCGCGCGGTAGCTTTAGTGATTTGGAGTTGGGCAGGCGGTAGAATTGTGGCCAAGACTTCTCTGATGGGAGACCACAAAGGGAGAAGATGAGTGAGAGCTCGTCGACCTCGTTCTTGCCTTGTAGTAACGGCTCTTTTGCAAGCAGTTCGCCGAATATACAGCCTACGCTCCACATGTCGACTTCCGTCCCGTAATCTCGAGTCCCTAGTAGAAGTTCAGGCGCACGATACCATAGCGTGACGACCAGTTGTGTGAGGGGTGCGTTCGCCGGCGGGATGTATCGTGCCATACCAAAGTCTGCAAGCTTCAGCTGGCCACGGTTGTTTAGTAGGATGTTTGATGTCTTGAGATCGCGGTGCATGATGAAGTTCTCATGCAGATAGCCGACGCCAGAGACCAACTGTCGTAACAATGTCTTGACTTCACTTGCCATGAATGGCTCACTCATGTCTTCTTGTAATGTCTTGAGGTCATGTTCGAGGAAGTCCATGACCAGGATACATTCTTGCGGGTCGTCACCAGATAGAACCTCCAGAAGATCGACGACATTGGCATGTCTGCAGCGTTGCAGGATGGAGATTTCTCGTAGCGCGGTGATAGGGAAACCGTCTTGGTTGTAGTCCATTTTGACTTTCTTATGGGCGACCACGGAGCCTGTAGTGATGTCGCGCGCTCGTGAGACCCAGCCGTATGAGCCTTCTTCGATCTGATTGAGGGTCTCGAAGTTGGAAATATGTCGACAAGGGTTCCAAGCTCCGCCTTGAAATCGCAGGAGCTTCCTCTCGGTCTCTTCTTCTTTGGGCTTTGCGGCTCCCTCGTCATCGTCGCCTGTTGATAATCTCCTGCGCTTTGCAGGTCTCGATTCCGCCTCTTGCGTTGTTCGTGAGGCTGCTTCCGCCTCTTGATGTTTCTGAAGCTTCAGGCGTTTCTTCTCTTCTTTCTCTTTCTTCCGACGCGCTTCCTCGGCTTTGTCTGCTTCATCATTTGCCCATCGTGATGCCATAGCTCTTTCTCTTTCCTTTCTGACCAAGAGACCGACTTCCACTATTATCTATGTGCAAAGGCGTGTATTGAGGTTAAGTTGGTTTGGTTTTCCCAGAAGGACCCGGTTGGTGTGTTTCCGTGTAGATGGCGCTGGTTGGACCGATAGCACGTGTGAATCGTTAAATGGTGGTCATAGCTTCGTTCACGTTGGCGTTCCGATCTAAACTTTCTGTAGTTCCGAACGCGCCAACGTCATGGAGCTTCGATAAACAAGACCGACATGAGGACCAAACCTCTGAACCTACTGCGGACAGCGACACAGTGTTGTCGATCGGTACCACGACAAACCTCGATCCGAATAACGAAATGTGCCTCCCGGTGGTCGTCGACTTCTGCCTCTACATCTTCCGACTCGGAACGACAATGGTCGACGCCGCTGGCGAAGACGCTGGCTGAAGCTATTACAGTATGAGTCCCCTTCCCAGTATGAAAGCAAGTCTAACATTAGCTTCAGACGACAGGTCCAATCTCGGTAGCGGCGTATATGCGACAATGCCTCACTCACCCCGATGGCGGTTACTACACAAGACAAACATCGACTGGACAGGATCAATTTGGCATAAAGGGTGACTTTGTGACATCGCCAGAGATCAGCCAGGTATTTGGCGAGCTTATTGGTATATGGCTATACGCAGAGTGGCTTGCCCAAGGAAGGAAAGACAAGGTGCAGATAATCGAGGTTGGGCCCGGACGAGGAACGCTAATGGACGATGTACTGAGGGTATGGTGCTCTGCCAATAGTAGAGAATGCGAAGCATGCTTACAGGATGGCAGACCATATCTAGTTTCAAGGCTTTCACCAATAGCATCGAGGCTATTTATCTCATCGAAGCATCGCCTTACCTACAGAAACAGCAAGCAAAGTTGCTGTCTGACACCGATGATCTGAAGAAGAGCGACATTGGTCTAACCGCACAATGCAAGTACATGCCTTCCTGCAGGATCGAGTGGTGCGAAGACATAAGGCTGGTGCCAAAAGGTACGCGCTCGACTCTACTCTCTTCATCAACAGCGTACTGACAACATACACAGAGCATACGGCAGCGCCTTTCATACTAGCCCACGAGTTCTTTGATGCACTTCCAATCCACGTCTTCCAGAATATCTCTCAATCTTCGGTGCCTGCCTCATCGACCATCATCACGCCAACCGGCCCTATCAAACCCAAGCACGGCGTGACAACCCCCAAGAATACCTGGCATGAGCTGGTTGTTTCGCCAACTTCGCCGTACTCGGATATGGGCGCAAGTGGCTCTTCGCCAAAGAAAGGGGATGAAAAATTGGACTTCGAATTGACCGTTTCGAAGACACCGACGCCACACTCCTTATACCTGCCGAAGTTGTCTGATCGCTACAAGAAGCTAGAGAATACTCCAGATGCGATCATCGAGATCTCGCCTGAATCTTTTGCCTACGTATCTGACTTCGCTGTACGGATAGGCGGCAGCGCTCCTAAGCCTAGCAACACCTCGGCATCCCATACTCCCTCGAGCAGAAGTGCTCCTGTTGAGGCAAGCTTCATAAAAGCGCAGCCGTCTGGTGCAGCTTTGATCTTGGATTATGGACCTTTGGATACTATCCCAGCGAACACTCTCCGGGGCATTCGCTCACATACCACTGTCTCGCCTTTTGCATCGCCCGGTCTGGTAGATCTCTCGGCTGATGTGGACTTTCTCGCCCTTGCAGATGCAGCTTTAGATGCTTCTCCGGGTGTTGAGGTTCACGGACCCGTTGAACAGTCTTTCTTTTTATCGACAATGGGCATTAAGGAGCGCGCTGATCGCTTACTTAAGGCTGCTAAGGATGAAGATACGCGAAGACGCTTGGAAACAGGCTGGAAGCGACTTGTCGATAGAGGGCCAAACGGCATGGGTAAAACCTACAAAGCTATGGCTATCGTGCCCTACAAGAAGCAAGGCCCAGTCCGACGGCCGATCGGGTTTGGCGGAGACATCGTTGGCTGAACAATATGATAGCTACCAAATCAACAGTTTTAGCCTTGGACATTAGGTGATGGGCGTCTGATGACTAAATACGATACGTATTCCCATACTGCGTGCCGCAGTTGATTGTATCCGATTGATCGATCGAATTTCTTCAATGTTAATTCCACTCGACTGGCTCTCACGATGGAATGATACTTCGCATAGCCATCCTACCATGATTGATGCGCGATACTTCCATCACCGGTACCCTACGTAAGAGAAAGACCATCCTATGGGTACACTCATCTTGCAAGGAAGTCTTGGTGTCTTTGAAGGAAAGAACAACGTCACGGATGAATGGACGAGTGCTCTGCACATCAATGATGTTAAGACAATTTACTCCTGAAAACTCCAAAAGAATAGAGTTTAAATCGTATAAGGGGGCATAAAAAGGGAAGAATCTACATAAAAGACATACTAATAAAAATCGTTAGAACACACACTGGCATCGCTAGCCCTCCGACGTCTTCCCTTGCCCAATATCATGCCCACATTCAGTGCACATCCCTGAGGCACCTCGTCGTCTTCAGGCTCACCCCGCTCCCAGTCCTCAATCTCATCTTCAGCAAGTTCTTCATCGATCACGTCGAAACGCGCAGAATTGAATCCTGCGTCCCCGAAAGCAGAATACATAGACTGGCGCTGCGGCTTCGGGAAGACAGAAGCGTTGTCATCCTCATATTCAGCGAACGGTTCGGGGTCAGGATGGCTAGATAGAAGCTGTCTGTACTTCTCCACGCGCTCTTCTTGCGTCTCAATGTGGTCATAGATCGGGTTGTCGAGAGGATCTATGTATCCCGTGCGAGAGGATGGGCCGCCGGTGTAAGACGCGATCGTGTGCGCTGTGGTTGCGAGTGATCGGCGGGAGATCATTGAAGCGGGAGGATTGAGGAAAGAGTTCTCCTGCCTGGTAGAACCCGCGACTGACGGTTGTGGCACAGGCCTGCGTCTGATCTGTAATGGAGCTGGACGGTCGTCCGAATTGTGGTGCCGAGGAAGGCGAACGGTAGGGAGGCTCATGGTATCATCAGGCGTGATAGTCCTTTCTGGATTATGCGAAGCCATTGACTCGTTATAATGCCTTGACGCGTTTGTCGATGAGCGAGAAGGTATGAGTCCAGGCTGGTTTCGCAAAGCCGGATGGACATCTTCTTGGTTGTGAGGAATAGTGTATACCCGCTTACGCATACCGGGCATCTCAAAACCAAGATCCTCGGCCTGTGACTTGAGCTTAGTGTCTGGAGGCCGGGGATTAGGACCCAGTTTGGGGTCGAACAGGCTCGGAGCTGTTAGTTCTTGTTCTCGCCGCCGTCTTACAGTTCTGGTCGAGGCAGAACGGCTAAAAGTGCGCTGATGAGCAGGGACGGTAGATGAACCTAAACTTTGACA